AGCCATAAATGTTCCCTGAGCTCCTGCTTGACCCTTTGCTAGTCTGTACCTTTATGAATGAATGCCCCTATACCACCCCCCTTTCTTCTGTTCTATTACAATATTCCCATGCGTAGTCCGGATTGTTAGGTCGTTGTTCCATGTCCCTCAGATGTGTTTCTACAAAGCGATATACCATCAGCTTCTCCTCCCTTAGCTGTTTTTATATCTCTCCCCACTTCAGCCCATTGCTGCTACCCTGCATGTTAATATACCCTACGTCTGAATTGGCCCGGCCCTCGTGGCTACGTCGATTTCTGCCCTAGACTCTACGTGTCTTAGATATTGGTGCCACTTATGAATCATATCTGCCTATACCACCTGTCAAAGAGTCCCCCTGGTTGTTTTCCTCGTCACTAGCTATCCTGGACCCCGAAGGGCCCGCGTGCCCCCCCAAAAAACTACTGCGCGTCCTGCAAGTCACCAACCCACCTCATGACCTAGCCTTCCATCAAAGTGAATGAAAACCACGTCATCTATGCACCTCTCTGTTTATTTCCACGACTTCAAAGCTTTTCTCTTAACTCATCTGCCATATATATATTTTTTTTGCGTTGACAACCGCTCTTTGCAGGTTGCCGTCATGCACCGGTACCTCCGGTATCGTGCATGTCACTACCTGTACCTGGGGGGAAATGGCGCACATGTCATCGACCCCTTTTGCCAGTGTGGTTGCTAGTCCTGAAGAATCTTCATTTAAGACATCGTTTAAACCGCCCGCAATTATTATGAGGTTTCGTCCATTAGCTTTAGTTTTGAGTTTTGCACTCGCTTGCCCTATGACTGCTTCCAGCTTACGTCCTGGGAACTGCAAGTACCAGCGGCTACTTGCAGCACCTTCAAGTGGGAGCGAAAGCAACCGCAGTTAAAACGCTGCAGAGTCACTGGAATTACTCTAAAACGCAGCCTATAGTCTTTGCACGTCATCTAGAGGCTAGCGAAACAAGTCATGGGTGATATGCAACCGGTTTTGAAATTGCAACCCTTTCCCCTTGAAAGCGATTACGCAAGAGATAGGGCCAGCGGCGTGTCGTCTGCTGCTTGTTGAGTGTGTGACAGGTTGTTTTGCTCGCCCCTGGATGGCGCGAAAATAGGCTGCGGTTAGGAGTGTGCGAACATTCGAAAGCTTCTAATATTCGTCGATTATTGCTTTTGTAATATTCACATTCGATTCGATAATCACACATTCGAAAATGTTCACGAATATTCGTTCGCACATGTCACTGTGAAGAACGCGCATTGCGGATTTCCGATAAGAGCCTCAGTAGATCATGCAGTGATTACCAAGACTTCAACGCGAGTGCGGTGATCCCTGCATGGAAATTCACGGGAGCGTGATGACGGCTACCGACGAATGCGGCGGCACGTCACCACGACAAACCTACCAACGATAAACATCTCAACTTAAATCATGCACTGCCTGCACAGCAGTACGTGTGGCTTAGCGGTTTAGCGCTGTTACGGTACATGTAAGCGTACTGACCACCCCGTCCGCTGCCGCACACGTGTACGCGGGACCACAAGTGCATACTACGTATCGCTCGTGGAAATGAAGACAACTTGCCGCCGCCGCCGCATTGGCTCGACAAAATAGTCTTCACACCTTCGCTCGGTCCCGTGCTGAGCCAGAGGAGGCGCTGGCTGAGCGAGCACGAAGCAAACAAAATATCTCTACGTAAGGGCAAACGCACGCGTATACGTTACCAGGCGCGGCGCTGATGGAGTGAGCTTAGTAGGCGATGCACTGCACGCAACTAGCTAGGGGCGCGCTCAGCCAGCGCCTTTTACACGTTCGATGATAACGTGTTTTCGCTAATGGATCGCCGTACCACGTACGATGATAACGTGTTTTCGCTAATGGATCGCCGTACCACGGCCGGGCTAGACTGCACCTGCGCGCGCTTCTTTCCAGCGCGCAGGTACAGTCTAGCCCGGCCGCACAAACGTACGCGCACATGTCGAAGCCTGACGAGTCGTCCGTCAGCTGTGCCGCTACTTCTGCATGTATACTCTCTTCATATTTCCGAAATGATTTCATGGTAGCGGATATGGTTATGCGAATGGGCTGAAGTGTTTTTGCGCGCAATGGCAAACAAGGAAAAGGCCGTGCACTTTCAGTAACGTTACATATAGTTCTCCGTTGCTAACGACGGCGCATGCAAGGTGACAGACGGATTACTATGTAGTTCCGCTGCGTTCCCGACAGCGCCGTCGTATACGCGCATGGCGCGGCAACGTCTCCTGCAACTCTTTTTGCCAACGCCAGTTTACTGCCGTCGGCAGCCAGTGCACCGAGGGAAGGGGGTCGCGTTGCGGCAAAATAGTGCCCTCGCCCCCGGGAGTTGTGGCTCCGTTAACAAAAAGACGTATTTGGGGCGTCTTTCCACCGCACATCAGTAATCATCTATCTCGCGCGCTTACCTCGCGTTATCGCTGCGCGCCCGGTACACCTTGGTCACAACCATGCTGCTATCAGCACAACACAGCATTCTTGATCGGGAAAATGGGGCGAGCGCGCAGTACTCGCGAAAGGCAACGGAAGCAAGCGAGCTACTCCTATTTCAACTAGTGGCTTGACCAGTGAGAACAGGGAAGAAAATTAAAAAAGAAAACTATAAAATCGGGGTCTTTCGAGTCAAACTGATAGTGTGGAAACCTAGGTGAATTGTGACCACCTAGGCTGCTTTAATAATCGCTTAGACTTAACTACATGGCTGCTAACTCTTACACAATCAAACCAGTCATCATGGCAGCTACGAAAGCTTTTCTCTTTTTTTTGTAATATAAAAAAGATACAAAAGGTTTGTTCGAGATGTGGATTGAACCCAAGACATCACAGTCACAAGCTCAACTATTTACAGTCTTATGGTTTCTGGCAAGTACAGATGGTGACATTTTTTTTTTTACTTTATGTTATTATAATAAACAATTGTACTGTTTTCAACATAAATATATGATTGAGAAAAACATTACTGATGGGGAAAAATTGCACCTTTTCATTATTCGATAATCGATTCGTATTCGAAGCTATGTATTCGTACTCGATTGGTATTCGAAAATTTTGATATTCGCACACTCCTAGCTGCAGTTGCTCTCGCTCCAGCTTGAAAACGGCGCAAGCAGCCGCTGGATAACCGCCGGAGCAAGCGCGCAGACCACGCACTGGCGTGTTCCCTTTCATAAAATTGCCCCGCCGCGGAGGTTTTATCCGCCCCCGCACAAGCGGTTGACTAAGGCGCAGGAATGCGTCTGGAGAAAACTGCATACGCGACCTTTTCCCAACCCTTACGTGTTGAACAAAATGTACCCGGAGGAGATTAAGCCGCAATGCAAATGGTGTCAGGGTGTGGCAACATATGATCACATACTTTGGGAATGTAGCATAGTGCCGCCGCCGGTGGATATTATGCGTGATCCCTCTCTTGAGCACTGGGAGGCCGTGTTGACCAGCTCAGACCCAGTCGTCCAGTTAAGGGTCGTGGAGTGGGCCACACAGGTCGCCGCCAACCTTGGGTTGATGGCCATCTAACACGGAATCATCCTCAGTTGCTTTCTGACGAAATAAAGTTTTTCAATCCATCATGCCTCGCCGCGTTGGTCTAGTGGCTAAGGTACTCGGCTGCTGACCCGCGGGTTCGAATCCCGGCTGCGGCGGCTGAATTTCCGATGGAGGCGGAAATGTCGTAGGCCCGTGTGCTCCGATTTGGGTGCACGTTAAAGAACCCCAAATGGTGGAAATTTCCGGAACCCTTCACTACTGCGTCTCTCATAATCAAATGGTGGTTTTGGGACGTTAAACCCCACAAATCAAATCAAACCTTTTCATAAAATTGGCAGTGTACCTTCCAATGCCGCTACCGCTGTTTTATGAAGCTGCAAACAAATGCTTATGCAACGGCCAGTTTGGCGCGCATATAAACGACCACACAACAGCAGTTACTGGTACACAACGCATGCTGCACATTGAACAAAAGGCGAGCTGTGTTTAACATGGCACCACTCTTTTCCTAGGAACTTTGCGTTGGCAACTGAATTTTCTATTTTGCAACATACATTGTTCAGTTTAAATGGAGTCATGAAGTCGAGGAAAAAAAAAACTTTTAGATCGAAGCGATCGGTCACATTCTTAAAACCGTGGGACATCTTATATTTATGTGCAGCAAAAACACCTCGTTTTGATGTGTGCACTGTTCAACTGAATTTTTACTGTGGCCCCCCAAATGCCTGCTAGTGCACCCCATTTTTTTTCCCCCGTCAAGATGAACAAATACTGCAGCTACCCCGAATGGCTGTTTTGCTGTTTCTTCATATAAATACCTGCCTTGAAGTCAATAACTAAAGGTTAATTATTGTTAGCTAGCCACTTACACGTCATTTTAGCTGGCACGAAGTAATTCCTCTTCGACGTGGAGTTAGCGTGCGAATACGACAGACGCCTTACCTTTGTATCATGTTTACAAAAACTCAGTATTGCCAAAAATAAATAAATAAACGACTCGTATAAAATATGCATGTCATTAATAGTGGCTGCTGTAAGGTAAGCGACGTTGGGAGGAGGCGGGGATGCGGTGACGAGCTGCCAACGGCTCCAAGAACGACCACTGTAATGTCACGGCTCAATGGAAAACAACTTGAGAACCCGCGGTCATGCTCAAGGTGTCGTAACTCGTAAACTTGGTCGAGTGACCAGCATGTTTCAAGAATGACACTCCGATCACGAACTTCCATGCGCACAGCCGCGGCTGTTACAAGCACTTCGATTTCACACGATTCCAAAGTGGAGCCGAGACTGCGGACAAAGAACGTTTCCAGCTACATGGTTCTGCCATCTGGCGAACATGTCTTACATTAGCAGGAACAGCTTCGTCAACTTACGGGTTAGCGGCATGAACTCTCGAAATATGACAAATTCAACATTTGCCTTTGGGCGACCGGTGCACGGGGTGTCACTGATTTCCAGCGATTTCTGCATCGTTACTATTTCGCATTGGTGCCGCGAACCAAGTGACAATCGATCATAGCTAAAGAAATTTTGCACTCAGGTCACGTGACAGTTATAAACCTGCGTTCGGCCGCATGCAGCAGCAGTTGCCTGTTGCAACGCCGTTCAACTAGGCGAGCCTCTTTGTTGCCTAAGCTGCAAGAGTGTACTTTTTAAAGGAGTTCGCCGTTTAGCGTTTGTTAAAAGTTATGGACACAGACGACAGTCAAGGTGCGGGACGTTCTGCAGACGACGAAACCGCAGACAAGAATGAACAGGTGAGTACTTCACTTTTCTTCGACTTCACTGAAATTAGTGAACTTACTTCTCTTACATAGGGTGATATGACCCTGCTCGCTCGTGTCCTCTCGGCATTCAACACTATTGAAGCCCCCCCCCCCCCCCCCGCACGACGCAGAAGTGGTGGGTGCCGTAGTCTGACCGGCCCCATCAAGGGGATATCAGCAGGCAGAGAACGCGTAGCTGCAACAATGCATTCCGCGGTACTCTTACCTTCTACTCCCGTCAACTGCTTGGTACACGTTTATTTTATTTTTTGATGAGTTTGACTCTTTTGTTACATTTAGCAGTTGTATTCTCCCAGCGTTTCAGTTTTTTCTCTCTTTTTTTATAGCAAACAAGCAACATATGCTCTGGGTTATTTGCTGCTGCGGTCGGCCTGCGGTTGGCCCTCTGCACCGACTTTTCCCATACTTCAGCTCTTAACACCAAGTGCAGCTACCTAGACTTAAAAAAAATGTGTGCAGTGTGGCCAATCGAGGGCCATAGCATAGGAACGGTAGAAAATCCACATCGCTGCCCACATACAGAGCATGCCGCCTGTATGTGTGCCTCAAACGCACTATGCGCAATCGTCAGTTTTTTTTTTCTCTGACTTCGCTTATTTTGACAGTATATTATCTGCGGCAAACTCGGGTTGTTTTCGCTGCTATCTTTACAAAACCCATTTACCGCCCCTTGGAGCAAGTTTTCGGATGCATGGAATTTGTATGATGATGATAATATGAGGGGTTTAACGTCCCAAAAACCACCGTATGATTACGAGAGACGCCGTAGTGGAGGGCTCCGGAAATTTGAACCACCTGGGGTTCTTTAACGTGCACCCAAATCTGAGCACGCGGGCCTACGACATTTCCGCCTCCATCGGAAATGCAGCCGCCGCAGCCGGAATTCGATCCCCCGACCTGCGGGTCAGCAACCGAGTACCTTAGACAATAGACTACCGCGACGGGGCTATAGAATTTGTAGCCGAGGTCATGTCTGAAAATGTAGTACTGTTCTGGGTACCGGCAAATATATGCAGATTTATGCAAAAGTTCAATACGACATCGGCACACGTGATGTCAGTTCCCTAATTATTCACTGGTTACGATCGACGCTTGCACACTGATTTCAGGAGCATGTTGCGGGCCCGGCATAGGGCAATGCGCTATCGCTCGTGCAACTTTCAATTCCGACAGATACGCTCCAAATCGAAACAGTCTTAGCAAGACGGCGATTCGTTGTAGCGTGCACGTGGTCCCACTCCTGACGGTCTCACCGATTATCGTTAAGGTTTAGCATGATTCTCAGCCTAAGCAAAAGGTTAAATCTAACCAAGCATACAACAATCCTGTATGCAGGGTGCCCCAGCTATCTCTAGCCAGAATTCTAACAAATATGACGACGCTACGAAATCTGTCGCTGATCATTGTAGGGGCTATGTATATATATAGATAGATATATATATATATATATATGTGTGTGTGTGTGTGCGCGCGCACGCGCGTGCGCTAATACAACTGTTTTTGCTATGGTGAGAAAAAGAGGGGGAGAAGCGACGTCGTAGCAGCTGTTAGTGGCGTGAGGGCATGCCCCCCCCCCCCCCCCCCCTGGTTACTAACCCTAAAACTACGAAGCTGAACAAGAAATTGCAATGCGAAAGTACCAGATCGGTTTGTAAAAGCTTAAACAGCTTTTAAGATTATATCTATTAAGTATTAGTGTTTTTTACTACATATATACTCACGAAATAAAGAAATGACACATACAACACAAATAACACAAATAATATCGACTTGCGCGTCAATGCACGCCGTGACTGCTGTTCTTCTCCGCCCCGCTGCGGTGGTCTAGTCGCTAAGCTACTCGGCTGCTGACCCGCAGGTCGCGGGTTCGATTTCCGGCTGCGGCGGCTGCATTTTCGATGGAGGCGGAAATGTTGTAGGCCCGTGTGCTCAGATTTGGGCGCAGGTTAAAGAACCCCAGGTGGTCGAAATTTCCGGAGCCCTCCACTACGGCGTCTCTCATAATCATATGGTGATTTTGGGACGTTAAACCCCACAAATCATCATACTGTTCTTCTCTAACGTTCCGTGTGGAAACGACCATGAAGGCCCAACCGTATGAGCGCGCGCGACAGCGACAAACTTGCTCCATCGCGCCTTCATGTCGCGACGGCTGCAACCACATGACGGCGACAAAGCGTCATTGTTGCTAGATTGGAAACTATCGCGTGCATGCCCATGAATTGCGAAAAGAAGTTTGCGAAAGAAGTGCCAAAGAATGTCAAATTTATTACTGTCTTGCGTGGGGTCAGGAATCCATAAAAGCTTTTCAGGACCTTTTTTTTTTTTTTTTTCGCAATCTTTGGTTTAACCGCGGAAAGGTGCCCAGAAGCATACGCTACGACAACGCACTTCGCATGACCATTTTACATTGCAGCAAGCTACCGTAAGTGTCACAGGCCACCAACGAAACATCTCTCTCCGCGCGAGATGCGAATTCGAAGAAGGTGGTCGATACCTTGCATTCCTTGAAGTACGCGCCGATGGCAAGCATCGAGAGCGCAATGCAACCGAAGCGAAGACCACGGGTGCAGCCATGTTGCCGGAAATCACCACGCTGGCTTCCGGGCGACAAGCGACGACTATAGAAATGGGCCTCCGGAACAGCATATCTTGTCACCCTTCGCTGTCGTTTGTTGCTAGAAGGTCGCGTGCATGCGGTTGGGCCTTTACACTTGGCCGATTGTGCTGCCTCGACAGGGTAGCGACGGTGGTGTTGGCTTCGCGATTACCCTAAGTTTTCCTAGCGGCCACACAAGCGATAACCGCTGCGTCTGCTGTCGTGAACCGTCGCGAGGAAAGCAATCGTTTTTACGCGCAACGGAAGCACCTTAATTCTCGGCGCGCAAACGGACATGTGACGCGATATATTTTGGTATTTTGCGGGAATCTTTACAGAAATGCGCTGATACCTCACAGTTAATTAAGCACATGGAAACCGTCCCATCAAACCTTTTGAAAACCGATCGACAACGTACTCGTTAAAAATTTTAGCCCAACTTCATTTATCAGTTAATTAGCAAACATGCATTTGGTCACGTCGTCATGGAGTGTACCGGCATATATTCAAACTCTCGAAAGAGATAGCTGGGAAAGTCTGTCTGTATAGAGACTCTGTGTTTCATTCTACACACTTAAGCTTCTACGCATGGCCTCCGCGCTTAGACCATTTTAGGTAGTCAACGAGATCAAGTTAAACGGAGACAGCGTCATAACCGACAAAAGAAATGGCGATTTTCGCCTTCGCGTAAGCGCCGACGAACAGGCGAATTATGTCTGAAAAATTAAGTGATTTTCTGAGCCACAGATCTTGCGGCCGGTGCCATCAACTTCCAAATAGTAAGGAAAAATTAGTATCGTACCACTTGTCCTACTTCTAGTACCTGCTCTCCGTCATTTTTCTTTTTTCTGAAGTATGACTGCTGCTGATGCGGGGGGGGGGGGGGGGGGGGGGTGATTTTAAATGAAAAGAAGAGAAAAGTGAGCCCGTAACTGTCTCTCAGGGGGAGGACACCTCATCGGTAGCTCACGAGAAATGGGGGTACAGAAGGTATTAAAGGATAGGATTAAAAGGTAAAGAGAGGGAGAGAGCGAAGCGCAGGGACAGCGAACGGAAGTAAGGAGAAGACGGGAAAGATGGATACGGTTGCAGGAGTCCAAGGACGGGGCACCACTGGCGAGAGCTCTTGTCGGCGACAGGTGGCGTAGTGCTAATCCAGTCGGCCAGAGCTGCGCTGTCGTCGGAGATCGCAAGGGCACAACCGGTCGGCACGAAATCCAGCGAGCGCGTCCTTTGCCTGGTAGCAAGGAACACGGGAGTTGACGCGACCGGCACCAACGCTACATCCTGCTCGTCCGCAGCATAAAATTTAGATCGATTGCGTATGTTTTTTTTTTAAATTCCGGATAACTGCACCCGCTGCTAAGATCACGCAGCGGCAGTGAATGCGTGACGCGGCCGACCACGCCTTGACGTACTCGCAGTCGAAGCGTTATGTTGATGTGTGGCAGCTTGGGCTAGTTGGTATGGCATGACGATAGTTACAGCGCGAGAACAAAACGACCACACAGAAACAAGGACACCAAAGGATAAAATAGCACTCGTGTCTTTCGTGTACTTCTTGTCTCTGTGCCGCCGTTTTGTTCTCGCGCTATAACTATCGTTATGTTGATATTCCTTCGATTCCAAGGCCATGCGGAATATGTTATGTTCCGCGAGTAACGCACATCTGGCCACCATAGCTGTTTCTTCCCGCAAACCAGACAGTGTTTTTTTTAATAGTTATATTTATTCATTTATTTTTCCTCTTCGTAGAATGTTTCTGCTGAACTCTCGGTGAGGTCTCCATATACGAAGGAAGGTGCTGCTTTTAAACAACGACAGCTATCATGCTCACGTATTATAGTTTGTTCCACACTTTCAATAACAGCAATTGCAGGTGGAAGCATCAAAGCAGTGAGGAAACTTGGGATAAGCAAAAATCGGATGTATGCACTAAGGGACAAAGAACAGAATAACTACCAATATGGATAGGATAGTTAAAATAGCGGAGGAGTTTTACAGAGATCTGTACAGTAGCTGGGACAACCACGACTTCAATACTGTAAGAACTAGCAGTAACCCAGATGACACCCCCACCAGTAATGATAGAAGTCAGAAAAGCTTTGGAGAGCATGCAAAGAGGCAAAGCTGCTGGTGAGGATCAGGTAACATCGGATCTGCTGAAAGATGAGAACAGATTGTGTTAGAAAAACTAGCCACCCTGTTTACGAGATGTCTCCTGACGGGAAGAGTACCAGAGCCTTGGAAGAACGCCAACATCATCTTAATACATAAGAAAAGAGTGGACAAGGATTTGAAGAATTACAGGCCGATCAGCTTGCTCTCTGTAGTATACAAGCTGTTTACAAAGGTAATTGCTAACAGAATAAAGAAAACATTAGATTTCAATCAACCAAAAAAAAATCAAGCAGGATTTCGAACAGGCTACTCAACAATCGATCACATTCATACTATCAATCAGGTAATAGAGAAATGCTCAGAATATAACCAACCACTACACATAGCCTTCATAGATTACGAGAAGGCGTTTGATTCAGTAGAAATATCAGCCGTCATGCAGACACTGCAAAATCAGGGCGTCGATGAAGTACTATATATAAACATCCTGGAAGAAATCTACACAGGATCAACTGCTACCATAGTGCTTCATAAAGAAAGCAACAGAATACCAATCAAGAAGGGTGTAAGGCAGGGGACGCAATCTCCCCAATGCTATTTACCGCGTGCTTACAAGAGGTTTTCAGAAGCCTAGAATGGGAACAGTTAGGGATAAGAGTTAATGAAGAGTACCTTAGTAACCTGTGCTTCGCCGATGACATTGCATTGCAAGTAACTCGGGGGACCAATTGCAACTCATGATTACGGGAGTTAGACAAGGAGAGCAGAAAGGTGGGTCTTAAAATTAATCTGCAGAAAACGAAAGTAATGTACAACAACCTCGGAAGAGAGCAGCACTTCGACATAGGAAATAGTGCACTTCAAGTTGTAAAAGATTGTCTACTTAGGGTAGGTAATAACCGCGGAGCCGAACCACGAGATTGAAGTAACTAGAAGAATAAGAATGGGGTGGAGCACATTTGGCAAGCACTCTCAAATTATGACAGGTAGATTGCCACTATCCCTCAAGAGGAAGGAACGTATATAACAGCTGTATCTTGCCGGTACTTAGCTACGGAACAGAAACCTGGAGACTTAGAAGGAGGATTCAGCTTAAATTGAGAACGACGCAGTGAGCAATGGAAAGAAAAATGGTAGGTGTAACCTTAAGAGACAAGAAGAGCAGAGTGGATTAGGGAACAAACGGGGGTCAAGGATATCATAGTTGAAATCAAGAAGAAGAAATGGACATGGGCCAGGCATGTAGCGCGTAGACAGGATAACTGCTGGTCATTAAGGGTAACTAATTGGATTACCAGAGAGTAAAGCGGGTTAGGGGGAAACGGAAGATTAGGTGGGCAGATGAGATTAAGAAGTTTGCGGGTAGAAATTGGCAGCAGCAAGCACAGGACCGGGTTAACTGGCGGATCATGGGAGAGGCCTTTGTCTTGCAGTGGATGTAGTCGGGCTGATGATGATGATGATGATGCAGGTGGAAATTGGCAGACGACAAAGTCTCATCCATGATAACGTCATCAAAGCACAGTTCACAGAAACACTATCACCGTGCGTACGAGCCCTGGAATAGTCCACCTACGCGACATATATATATAACGCCAGAAAGAAAAGACTGCGGCGCGCAGAATCGAACGTCGAACCTCCGCGTCGTGAATGCGAGGCGTTCATCAATGAACCACTGAAAGGTACCTCCTTCGACGCTCGAATGGCAAGCTATTTATATCTACCACTTACCGGTGCTGGCAGGCATATGGGGGGGGGGGGGGGCTATGTGTTTTCAGAATTATCAGCAAGATGGCAAAATGAGAGCGCGACGGCTCTCGTCTCTCACGCGTACTTTGCCCCACGGAGAGGTGGGGAGTGGACGATCTCTTGCGCGCCCTTATCTCCCGATGGGGAGGATCATGCATACGTCTTGGATGGTGTAGGGCTTGCACTGGAACGATTCTGTTGTAGTTACGGGGCACACAAAGGTCACTGCAATCATTACACAGCCTGCGTTTGCGAAATGGGCGTGCTTTTCAGACACAGCGACGAAACAACTGAGATGCTGATTCGTGTTCATCTGTGTCTGTGAAGACTTTCGTGCGTCATTTGTACGTGAGAAACGCGGGGCACGTTTCGATCTGCTTGTCATTCTGCGCGTGACCTTCCAATTTGTTCTTATCACGCTCATTGCTTCGCCTTTGCGGCAAAGCTGTGAGTTTTTTTAATTACCGGCACGGAACACAGTAATGTATGTTGAATCGGTCAAATACAGTGACAGTGTGTCCGAATAGCAAAGTTTTCGTGATTTTATTCTGTCCTGAATGGAATTTCGATTCGAGCTGATGCCGCAGAGTTTCTCTTGCTCGCAGAGCACTCTTGCGCAGCTGTGGCGTCTAATATGTCACGCATATTCTTATTTTCGGCAGCCAAGAATGGAAAAAACAGAAAATGTGGAGGAACCGAAGCTCAAGTATAAGTATCCGACCAGCACAATGCCCGGAGGACCCTTGCAGTTTCGGAAACGACTGCAGAAAGGGGTGAGACTTGCGTGACAGTCGCATCAGAAAGTAAGGCGAATGAGAGGTTCTACATTTCCACAAAAAGCCCACCTCCCCTTGCATGTTGTCCCGGTGTTGTTGCAGTATATATCAGCTGTGTTCATCAAGTACTGCTCTATTTTTTACAATACCCGCCACAGTGGTCTACTGGTTATGGTGCCACGACTTTTGGCCAGAAGGTCGTGGGATCGAATCCTGTACGCGCCAACTGCATTTTTGCTGGAGGCGAAAGTGCTTGAGGACCATGTGCTCTGTCAGGTGCGCGTTAAAGAACACCATGGGCTCGAAATAACCAGAGCCCTCTACGGCGTTCCTCATAATCCTACCGTATAGCTTTGGGGTGCAATACCCTCATTATATATTTATTTCATATGATGAACTCTCACGTGGAGACTTGTTTTGTCAATTAGCAGAGTGCTGCAAATAAAATGAATGATTCAGTCAAGGCTTCAGTTAGTTTTACAGTGAAAGCTGTTATAAGATCAGAACACGGGTCACTCGCGGCGCCGTCGTTCTCCACCACCACCGCCGGTGTCCGTAATCAGATTAGCAAGATTTATTTCTTGCTAATCTGATTACTAATCTTACTAATTTTGCTAATCTCATTAAAAAACTATCAATAAAAAACGCGAAGGGCACAATGGGATTCGAACACGGGCCCGCTGGGTGCCAGCCCAGTATTCTGCCACTGAGCCACGCTGGTGCTTGGAACTCTTTTCTAAACTTGCCTTTGGCAGGCCTGATGTCGGGAAAGGAACCGCGTTAACATGAGTAATAAAGCGTTTTCGAGCATCAAAGGAACAACCAGGTGTCGCAAAATGCGAATTAACGGTGGCGTATACTCATTTCAGGCATAATTGTTCATCCTGGTCACCCACTGCAAAAAAAAAAATTGCACAATATTCCTAGCAAGTGTGTAGCAGATACCACGCTTCTCCAAAGAATGATGAATAGCATGGTGAATGCTAGCCTACTACACAAAAATTATTTATTGTGTTGTCTGTACCCAGCAAGTGTGCTTGTAGCAGTTACCCAAACGGTGTTTAGAAAAGGCTCTCAAAGGCCGCTCTTGTAGCTTTTGCTGTGACTGTGCTGTGTGTCCCCACAGACTTGGATTTTTTTTTTAATCGGCAGGTCTCATCTGACACTACATACATTTACAAGGGGGAGCACTTAATCCCCAGAACACAGGGTTTGTAATGACGAGTGCAATGTCACACTCATATTGCCAGTTTATCGAGATCGTTATGAGCGAACGGTAAGAGTACACTTAGGTGAGATTTGTGATAGTGAAAGCAGAAGGCCTAAAGTTATGCATTGTAGATGTTCAAGGTCTCGATGAGGCAGTTGTCTCCACTGGTGTACTATAGTGAGTGCTAAAGATCAAATGGGTAAAGCCATGATGAACACAAAGTAGGCACAATAGCCAATTGATATGAGACTAAGCATTTCGCAAGCGAAAACAAGATTTAAACGCTCGTAAATAGCCGGACTGAAGAATAGCTCTAGTTGCTTACTGAAAGAGATAGCTGTAGGCCACGTAAACTCGGAGCATGACTTCGTTTATAATGTGCCCTTTTGTGATAACATGTCCAACAGAAATATTTTAATAGCAAACTGCGAATAAGCTTCAAACCACGTGCAAAATGACTATATCCCGATAGTTGAAAAAGAGAACAGCCTCCAAAATGTCAAACACCGGGAGTCACCCAGAATATAGAACCTTGGTAATCAGGAGAGAGTGGTCAAATCTTAAAGCGCGCTTAAAGGGGCCTTGCAACACTTTCTGAAAGCAGTTGAACTTAAAACGAATGCTAAAAAACTACACAAATAAGAAAGGCGGGATCGCAGTTGTGCTGGCTTTTCGTGACATCGCAAAACTTTAGTAGTGCCTGATCAGACAATATATGGCTCGAAAACGCAAAGTTATGCAGAGAGCAGTCGTATCACTTTCTGCACCAGCCGTAGTAGCCTAGCGGCAAAAGCGTTGCTAAGCACGAAATCGCTGGTTCCATTCCCACAACTGCATTTAGATAGGGGCCAAACGTAAAAGAAAAGGGCCACTTTTTAGGTGCACTTGCTTCTCTGCCCCGTTAATCCCATGAACTACTAAAAACTGGAACGAACTTCCTGCTGATATTGTCGCCATTACCTGCCAGTTTTTATTTCCCCATGTCATTAACCAGTATGAAATTAATGTGTAAACCGTGTGCAGAATTAAAACCCCACCTTTTGTCATGTCTGCTTCAAAAGGACCTTAAGGTAAATAAACTGAACTGAACACATTAACATTTTAAATAACTCCCAAGTTGTCAAAACAAAATCGGGAGCCTTCACCTATACATTGTGCCTCATAATCCTATCGTCACATTGGCACTAAAATCGACACACTTCTATAATATATAAAGTCACCTTCTGACATTAACTATTGTTGTTTCTTACTGCATGTGTGCAGCAACTGTATTTCGACTCGGGAGACTATTACATGGCCAAGGAAAAATCCCAAAAAGCGGTTTTGCAGATGGGCCCAAGTGTCCCCACTATCCTCCAGAGCCCCACAGGGAAGATAATCCCCACGGTGGAGTCACTGCCACCACGCAAGAACTCGCAAGTGCAGAGCAAGCTGGCGTCGGAGCTTTCTTCTGATAATAGGTGCGGAATGCCTACCCTACCCTGTGGCGCTCTACAAGTCGTGAAAAACGTATGCGGCTGTTGTCTGAGGAGGTTGAATGCAGCATCACTCGGGCGATGTATTTTGCTCTCAACTGAGCGCAAGAATTCGATAAACCTCCAATGATCACGTGTTATGTGACCTAGTTTTACGTTTGATGAGTATTATTACAATAATTGCTGCCTTGCTCTTTGTAGCGGGTAAATTAGTGGAAAATCTGTCCTTGGCAGAACAACAGTTGGCTACTGAGGCGAGGTATTCGCAGTCGGATTTGATCGGTTCTGCAGAGATGGGTCGCACACCACCAGTGCTCTAATCATCGTTTAGCTGTCTCAACAGTCTCTCACTATGGTTGTTTCTGCAGCCCCCCGACAAGTTGAAGCGCAGGCCCAAGCACCCGTGCTTCCCCTAGAGATAAGTGTACTAGCCAGGGCAGATTCTTTTGCACTGTCAGCCAGCAGCACAACGTCGTTAGCATAAAAGAGGGCTGGCACCAATCCTTTGCTTAGGTTGAATGTCGGGTCTCTTTCTATCGATTTGCTCTCGACGCCGGCAACAAGGATCGTAAAGAACGAAGGCGAGTAAGAGAATCACTTACGCAGCCTCTTAGATATATTTGCCGGTAACCACGTTGCCCTCTGTATGGAAGAAAATCGGATCACCGATTTTCTTCTGTACAGTGCCTTTAGGATTTGCTGCATGTTGGAGGGCAGACCCATCTCCTTGAACGCTGCCCACAGTAGAAGGTGATCCGCAGTCATACGCACACAATATATTCATCTTACTCACTTTGCGATCTCGATGGCTCATGTCGCAACAAAGAAATCGATTTTTAAGCGTCAAGCTAGCCAGAAACCATGTTACATGATCCCCTATAAAACCTTCAGCCTGTGTTTATTTAATGCGTCTGCTAACAATACTGTAGAAGTCCGTATACATGACTTGCACATGACGTCACCATTGTTGTTGTCCTAGTGCAGCGGCCATATTGGTGAATAGCCTCAAAGATCAGCTGTATGACTATAGTACGACTACAGTGTTCGAACCGTGTCTGGCACATAGCAGCTGTGAAATGCGGCATAGTATTGAGAACTTATAAGGCAAGGGCGCTTGCTATGAGGAAAAGGTGCAGTTGTGTGATGGAGTGGGTCTCTACACGCTTCCACTTAACACAGACACGACTTCGACAATCTTCACCTTTCCAGAGTGTCGCACGACGGCATCGTAAACGATTTGGTTCGCAGCTCTAACTTTGTTACTCTGGGCGAAATAAAGGCGTACAAGTCAACGGAATCGTATAACTCTTTTACTAGCGGCTTGGTAAAGAGTCGGTCTGCAAAGGTACTTTGTGACTGTAATTTTGACCATGCTTACAGAGGTAAATAGAACAGTTCATCAAAGTGACCCATTCGAGAGCCCCGCATTATGAAATATAGAGATGCAGGAAGACTGTTCAATTAACAAATGCTGATGTGCGCTTAGTTCTCATGCGAGTGCAGCAAGATGCTCACCAGGCAGCATGTTTTTTAATTGCTTGTCCCTTTGACTGTCCGTGTTGTTATATATAAACATAAATATGTATGTAGTACATCTGTGTGAATGAGTACTGAGGGTTTCGACCTCGAGAGCGAGCCGCATTTGGCTTCAACACGCACCGGCCTGTGCTCGGCGTCGTTCGGCTTCTGCTTGCCACTTTTCGTGACGCTGCTAACTGCGCCCTCATGTTGTGCTGCGCTCATGCTTGAAGCTGCAGCCGAGTCGTTGAGATGGCGCCCAGTCTCGGTTCGTCTCGATGAACAATGTGAACGGCTTTCCTACGAACACAAGAGCGTCTGCTTTAATTAGTGCCCTCATTTCTCCTCTTTTTTGCTTTCCGACTACAAAATTAGCTCCACACACATGAACGTTGGGGGTTTTCTCCGTCGAAATCTGTTCACCTTATGTGTGCCAGTCATGCTCTCCGATGGTTGGTGCTGAGCCTTTTCGCATAATCTTTGGTATTAAAGAAAAAAAAAAATCATAGTGGTGGCAGGGGGCGGAGACTCCCTATATCTCCCATGTTTTCACCATCGGCAGCAGCAGCGCTGCTTTTACCACTGACGGTTGCTGGGCATCCTACTAGAAATAAATCGCACAAAAAATTTCTTTCATGACCTCACTGGTGAGGTCCCTAAATAGTGGGATATGTTGATAAATAGAGAGAAGGGTTGCTACGAAAGCCCTCCCTTCCCAATCTCGCATGCAAACGTAATGCGCTCTTGCCTTCTTTGTGCTCCCTACCAGCGGGCTGCAGAAATTAGGCACCTTCTTCTTTTTCTACTTCTAACCACTACCACCAGGCCCGCTGGCCGCTTGGGCGATGCGGCCCTAAAAGTTTTTGTTAATCTTTTTTTTATTTTTGTTCATCATTTCTGAAGAGGCGAAAGTACAGCTGACTGATTTCTCGGCAAGATTAAACTCGATCGACACAAATGAAATGCACTTTCTATTGCATGTTTTGTATAAAAAAATGCATACATACACGTAGTGTGAAAGGGTCAATTAATAAACGCAGCTTTAACTTACAACTGACATACGAACATAAGCAAACCTTGAACCCAAAATATCTGAACCAATGCGAAAATTATCAACAATCGAGAGTAGGAACATCGTATTTGTCTCAATCACTTTTGTTATGATAGCTCACATAGTTTTCTTACGGAATTTGAGTACCAAATGAGGCTGAAGTTCAGAATCGTGGAGAGGCTTGAAGCGGTCCGAAGTTTTTAGAGAAAGAACGTTGCTGGAAACGATGTTTTGGCAAAATGACTTGTCTTTGTCAGGGCAACAGCATTTCCTTGACGAAAAAAAATTTACTTGTCAAAACGTTGGCTCAATTGACATTCTCTGTAATAATATTTAGAAACATCTATTCCATTACGTGTATTTGAGTGACATTATTAGAAGTAAAAACTTGAAGATTTTGAAACCGCGGCTGCAAGAATTTCATGAGCAGCAAGTCTCCTATAATTATTTGACATCATTTGAACTACAAGCCGAAAGTAAAAGAAACAAAAACTATGCAGCTGAGCCAACTCGAATTCAAGCCTTTTAATATAAATGCATTTTCCCGACAAGAGCTTGGTTGCTGTCTTCAACAATTAGTCGGGCGACACAACACTTTTGTCAGTCCAGTCAGGCTTGCAGAGAACTGGGTTTACTCGTATGTACTCATGCAAAATCAATACTTGCTCAAATAATAGGTCCAAATTTTTGTGCTCGCCCGCTGCCTTTACAAAACGCTGAAAAATGTTTGCGTAACCATAAATCCCTGGGTTTGCAAACTGTAGAGCCACAGAAAACATGCGTTGCCCGATTAAGCCATCTTCGACGAATGCATGGTTGACTTGTTTGGCATAGCTCACTGCGGCTTCCGTTCTCTGCCCGCCACAACTTGCTGTCCTAATCTTTTCTACAGCTGACACGCCAACCGAGCGAGATAACTGAGCGCGATCCAACTTCTAGTATTGCTCAGTGAGGGGCGAGAAGTAGCGGAGGCAAGCGCTACGAATGCAAGCCAATCACTTCTCGCGCTTCACCTGATTTAAAATTCACAAAATAAGGAATAAGAAACGACGTATAAACAAGAGAAGTACTTTACAGGGGTATCGGATTTGTTTCATTTGTGAATTGTGAAAGCCGATAAATGCGAACATTTACATCAAAAATACTCCGTTCAAACGGATCTTTGGATGCCCGGCAAACGCTACAAGCGTGCATGTTTTTTGAAACCGAAACTAGCGCCGAGTTTCCAGGGCCTGCTGGTGGGATGCTTCTTTCGCAGCTGTCGCTATGATTATAACAATCTACAACTGCGCAAATAAACACATTGGAGGAAGAAAAACGCCGGTGTGGCGAGGCAGCGTTGCACAAGATATAACCGCTGTTCACCAATATGACCGACTCACTCTGAGCAGTGACGTCAAGTGACAAAGGTGCAAGCTATGTACAGAAAAGATGTGACAGTGATTAATCGATAGCTGTCCAACTGGTGCTTATCACTGCCTTTCTTCACAATAGGGTATTTTAACAGCTATGGTAATGCCCTAGCGTTTGTGCTGCGGTATTATTGTGTCGTGCCATATGCACCACGACCAGAAAAAAAAAAACAATAATAATAATAGTTCTAGCCGTGCGGGTAGCTCCATGCTCACGGTAATGTTGTGAGACGATGAGAGTGGCTAATGCAGGTCTTTTAAATTAAAACAGCAAGCAACATTCCGACTGTGACGGTATGGCATTCCCATTTTCGCCTTATTGCGCACTACTTAAAAGACGAACACTTGGAATGAAGGACTAGACAAACACAAGTGCAAACTTTCAACTGAGTTTATTGGACAGACACATGATGCTTTCCTGCAATTGCGTTTCATGGTAAAAAAAAGTTTCCTAAAATGAATCTCAAAAAATTTTTATACGGTACAATTGAAATGACCAGTCATGCTTAGATAACACATACCTATCGCACATCTTGCATCACGGGTCAAGATACATCATTTCTTTCTGCACCAGTGCCAAAGAAGCCATACTGATGCAGGCATTTTCTAGGTGAATAATCTCGTATGCCTCAATTATTTCGCGCGTCATCTGATTACTGTGCCTAGCTATCACTTCACTCCAAGGCTGGGTATCTAAATTGCATCACTAGGTCAGTGGCCAACTCTAAATATTGAGATCAGTCAAGTCGCAGAAGGAGCAAGAGCAGCAAAAATCCCGGAATGAAAATGGGACGTGTTGCAGGATTGCAGTGATACCATACTTTCATGGCGTCTCCCATCGTCTAAAAAAGACTGGGGGCCATGTCGGAGTGAATGTGGTTTTTACAGCACCCAGAAAGTTGTCATCTCTTTGAAAAATAGGAAAGAAAATTCTGAATGAAACAAGCGCGTGCACAACTAGCCACAGAAACAAATTTGTGAATTGCATTTTAAAAGTTGTCTACGTGATTCCACTCGCATGTGGAAAGAAATATGTAGGCCAGATGGGCAGAAGCACTACAACAATGTGTACAAATCGGTGCAAGGGCATCTAGGCTTGCATTGTAGAGATTGCGGGTGCCAGCCAGATTTCCAAAAAACTAAAGTGATAGCTACCCACAGTAATCAGATGATGCGCGCAATAATTGAGGCATTCAAGATTATCCACCTGGAAGATGTCTGCATCAGTGTGGCTTCTTTGGCAGTGACGCAGAAAGAAATGATGTATCTTAACCCGTAATGCAAGATGTGTGATAGGTGCGTGTTACCTTGCCATGACTGGTCATTTAAATTGTACTGTATAAAAATTGTTTTGCAATTCATTTTTGGAAACCTTTTTTAACCATGAAATGTGATTGCATAAAAGCATTATGTGTCTAATAAACCCAATTGAAAGTTTGTGCTTGTGTCCATCTAGTCCTTCTTCCCAAGTGTTCATCTTTTAAGCAGTGTGCAATAAGGTGACAATGAATAGCTACCAACTCACACAAGCAAGTACCCTATAAGGCGTTCCCATATTGCAGTATGTAAACCTGCACTGCTAAAACGCCCTAATGAGTATAATGCGATACTGCACCAGATGTTAGCAGCACGTCGTTCATTTCATTGTCTGTTAAAGAGGCCCTGTAACACTTTTCGAAGTAACTATCGAATGGATTTGCTAAAGGACTTTATTGCCACATGAGTGGACTGCTGCAATTTTTTTTTTAAAATTCGTCAAGTACAAGCAAACTTAATGGACTTTCCCGAAGAACGCGCTCGAAGCTTGGCACGGGAAAAAGAAGTCGCGTCACGTGCACCACAATTTTTCTCTTTTTTTTTCTTCCTTAAAATGCACAGCCTATTTTCAGTGTGATTGTGAGCGTGCACAGGGCACGTGGTGGCCTCCAGCGGCGGCCACAGTAACTATGCTGCCCACGATGCTTAAATCGGTCAATCGCCATGAATTTAGGTATATGGCATCATTTGTAGAGAGGGAACGATTTCTAGCTTTGAAAACTCTTCGTAAATCCCAGGCCAAACGTAACATGCTGCACTGTAATGTTTGGCTCGCGCTTTCTCAAAAACCTCAAGTACAGACTAGCATCAATTCATGACCATGCTGAAAAAGTGTTGCAGGGTTTTATTTTGCTGATTAAGAAGTTCAATAGTAAACTTACCTGCCGCTCCTTTCAACCACTGCAGTCTTGAATATTTAATGATTTGACATAATTGTGCATAATTTACTAATGCCATAGTCACAATCATAGATGTATTTGGTTGCACAGCTTGTCTGTTAAATTTACACTTTCTCTGTTGAAGTTGCAACTAGAGAGGTTTGCCTTGTATTTGAAAAAAGACTATTTACTCCCTGGTTATATAAGCTTAGCGGGTAGGTACCTTCAGTAACGACATATTAAAATTTCCTACATCTCCTGTTTCTTGGATGCCTGTTTTCAAGTTAATCCTAACCTCACATTTACTTAAGCCATTTAAATGCAGTTTGGCAGGGAAATTGATGCACTCCCAGGTAACTATAGTACTATGATAAACTGCAAGTAATTATGCAGATGCAATATGGAACCATAGCCGGTTTAACTGAATTTTTCACAAAACGTCCCTTGTTATTTTACCTCTAGCAAATAGAAGTATGCGATAGTAACTCCAGTTATCCAATTAGTTTGCAGTATTTGCATGATGGTCGTAGGTCGGCCCGTTTAACTTGCTTGTTGCTTCGACCCACCATCGAAGTGTCGCGATTGACAGTCTTAGACACATGTGCATGAAAATTGTTCTCACGTAATAGCTATTTTGATTACGGTAACATATACTGAAAACGGAACAAAACCAAGCGCTGTAATTTTCTGCAAGATGTCCATATGTTCATGTTGACCTCATTTCTTTCAGCAGCAGTGCTGAAGAGGAGCCCTCTGCACACAGCCAGCTCGCTTGATAAAAAAGACAAAGAAGATAGAGTTCCTGTCAAGAACCTGTAATTTGCCTCATGCTATCAGTTTTTTTTTTTTTTTTGCTTTCGGTCGGTCTTGTATTACCTGTTTTTGGTACACTGTCGACGTTTCACATATTCTACTGAATATTAGATAGACTCTCAGACTATTCATAGGTATGCACTGGTTTTAACTTTTAATTACTGTCATGAAATAACCTTGGTTGGTGCTCAGGATGGTATTTCTTTCCCTAACAGTAAATATTGCTCGCTCTGTTGCCCATTGTGTGTCACCGACCAACAAGGTTTTGTATTATATGCTTCCAGCTGTTTGCAATATATTTACTTGCAATGTTAATTACTTTAAAGTGCATGCAAAAAAAAATGTTTTGAGATGAAGTATTTCCCTAATGATTACAACCAGAAAAAAAAAAGAAAAATTAGTATGTACAGCTTTAAGATCAGTGTGCCAAAAAGGGCAAGCTTTCAGTATATTTAACTTTTCCAGGACAACCTTTTTACTAATGGCCTACACATATTTTTGAAGCATATGTTGCGTAGTAACGTGTTCTTCTGCGATGAGAATGTTTTGCTGTAATATGTGCAGCTAGTGTAATAGGTAAAGTAAACGTTGTGCAGAAATTTTCTTCCATTCAATACGATTTCCATTGCCGCTTTGATAGGCAACTCGGAAAGAGCCGACCAATGCTGCAATTAGTACGCAAATAAGCCACGCTATGTAGTACATACTTGTCATGAGTTGAGCAAAATGAACTTGTCAATGTTTTGTACACGTACCCCTGAAGAGTGAAAGAAACTCTCACAGGGGCACACGCACATTCGCAATCAATGATCCACAATAACATAGTCTCTTGGCCAATCACCACAGCAAGTTTGAGTAACCTTCATTGCGAAAATAGCCACCACGGTGGTCTGTCTAGAGGTTATAATGCTTGAATGCTGGCGTGAAAGTAGCAGGGTCGATATATAAACATAGGGGGGCTTACAAAGAGCGTTCAGATTAAATTGAGGACAACGCAGCGAATGATGGAAAGGCAAATGATAGGTGTAACCTTAAGAGACAAGAAGAGAGCAGAGTGGGTCGGGGAACAAACCGGGGTTAAGGATATGATAGTTGAAATTAAGAAGAAAAAATGGACATGGGCCGGGCACGTAGCTCATAGGCAAGATAACCGCTGGTCATTAAAGGTGACTGACTGAATTCCCAGAGAGGGCAAACGCACGAGGGGGAACAAGAAAGTTAAGTGGGCCAATGTGATTAAAAAAATTGTCAGGTATAAAGTGGAAACAGAAAGCACAAGACTGGGTTGATTGGTGAATCATGGAAGAGACCTTTGCCCTGCAGCGTGTGCAGTCACGATGATATATATATATATCGCGGCTTTGTATAGTTATCAAATCCCAGCCGTGGCAGCCGCATTTTAGTGGAGGCAAAATGCTAAAGGCCCGTGTGAAATTTCCGGAGTCCACCACAACAGCGTCTTTTATCATATTGTGGTTTTAGGACTTAAAACCCCAACAATTATCATTATCCTTCTAGTCAAGCCTCATAGTAGTTGGCCACATTAATAAAATTTAATACTTGTTCTTGTGATTAGAGAGGTTTAATTTACGCTCCGAGTTGGCGTTGGTGTGTAGCGGGAATCTCAAAGATGAGGGCCGGAATCGGTGAAGCCACCCGGTGGCTGAGAGATCAACTAGAGAAACGCAGAACTATTCTTGAAGCAACTAATCGAATTCTACTTCACTGCTCGTCGGGTGGACTTTTCAGCAGCAGCATACTTGCTATTGAGTTGACTTTTTATTTATTTCCGACAAGAAAGCATGCATGTTGAAGACAAATATAAATTCGGCGGTATACAGTTGCATACACTGTAATAATACACACGCTTATTAAGCCCTCTGTTGTTGCAATAGCATATATATAGAAATCGTACCCTTTTGACAGCTTGTGACTCCAGGCTGTCAGACAGGCAGATGACATCAGGGCCAGCCATGGACAGGAGATCCTTGATATGGTTTCGCTTAGGCAGTTTTACAGGTGTCACAGGAAATTCGGGGAATGCAGCAGCTAGTGCCCGTGCTCCTGCCTCATTCGTCCGAGGAGATATGCCAACAAAGAACTCTCGACCTGCGCCACAGCCCCAGATAAACTAACTGCGGGAAATGCAGCCTTTTTGTTTAAGAAGAATTAAACGTCCCTTACTATACACAATCCATAATTGGAGAACAGAAAATTGGACTAGTATACTTTGCTTAGTAAGCAAAGTATACTCATGCGAGAAACTAATATGCATAAGTGATGAAGCGTGTACCTGTAAAAAGCACGTTTCCACCTTCTATAATTGCCTTCGGGTCCCGAATTTCCATTACTGCAATGCCCAGTTCTTTCTTGATGGTCGCCCGTATTATGTCCAGCTGCAATGTAAACGAAAGAAAAATTACGCACATTTAATCATTGTAATGCACAGTGTTGACTCCATAATCCATTTAATATGTATGGAATGTATTTCAAGCTACTTTAGCAAGAACAAAAAAAAAAAACTGTAGCTCCATGGAACCCATTCTGTGAATCTTTCTAAGATTCTTAACAATAAAAGCAAACAGCGCACTGAAATGGACAATGCGCGCAACTTTATTTCCGACGAAGAATGCTGCCGTTCCCATGACGAGCTCGACAGCAGCTGCCGTCAAACGCGCCATGGGATCAGCGTCATTCTTCACCCATGAGGGCAGTGCCGACTTATGAGAAGTAATGAGAACTCATGCAGAAATCTGAACCTGAGCGGTCACGCTTTCGCCCCACTTCACCCGTGCCGCTATCAGATGCAAGCTATCAGTCAACCCACGTGTTACCCCACGACGCGGCACAATTAAAATGAATTGTGCTTTCCGCACCAGCATTCCGTTGCAGACCCGCACCCACTCTGATACTCGCACAAGCTGCGGTGCGGATTCGTCCAAACGACAGATGATCACCGGCGCAATTGCGTCAACTACCCACAGCTCTGACGTAGTCCGGGGTGGCCCAGATATTCACAATGGCCGACCGCCAGCGATCCCGAAAAGTGCGCCATCGCCCAGACTTGAAACCCAGCCCACCTGTATATCTAATGGATGCTGCAACATTTTTGAACATGGTTATGTGAGCCAAACATTGTAGCACTGTAGCTCTGTAGCTCAAGCTACACCAGTGCTCTCTCCCTTTCCCAGCCGCAATGCACTTATTTCCACCCTCCATGAGAAAATCCTGCTGACGACCGTGCTGCCAGCATTTTTTCGTCCCCTTTTCTTTCTTAACAATTACACTACAATTGATATATACCTTCCCTGGCATCACTGTCTGTTAGTTCAATGGTGATATATCTAAGTAAAACTAGCCCTTAAATTTCCTCTTCTTTCCTTATTCTATTGTAATGTAAGATTCGTTACATATTGCCATAAAAACTGCCAGAGCTCGGGCTACGCACACCACTCTGTGTATTGCAGGCGTACGAGCTCCGACCGAGGGGCCAGCGCACGTGACAAGGGAAGACCGCGAGGTTAGAGGGCAGGGGCTCGTCCACCTCCGCATTCGCTCTATCCGTTACGCCGATAACAACGACGCTCATAAAATGAAGTCTGTGCTACTGTCGCATTAACGAGGCATAACGCTAAACACATTCTTAACAACGAACGAAAATTATCTTTCATTTACCCTCATTTAAAACACGTGCAATGTGCACATCTTCGCGCAATCATCTCGAAAGCTACCTGCCATCCAAGTGTGGCAGTTTGGGCTAGTTGGTATGGCATGACGATAGTTTTAGCGCGAGAACAGAACGACAAGAACAGATAGTCTCCTTCTTGTCCCTTTGTCGTCGTTCTGTTCTCGCGCTATAACTATCGTCCTGCCATCGAAAGCGAGAGAAAGATGGAAAGAAAATCTTCGTTCACGGTGCCTTGACTCTTATGCGACTGTTGGAGTTCAATGAAATTGCACCACCGCGGTGGTCTAGTCTCTAGTGGTTAAGGTACTCGGCTGCTGACCCACAGGTCGCCGGTATGGAATCCCGGCGGCGGCAGCTGCATTTTCGATTCAGGCGAAAATGCTGTAGGCTCGTGTGCTCAGATTTGGGCGCACGTTAAAGAACCCGAGGTGGTTTAAACTTCACTACAGCGTCTCTCATAATCGTATGGCGGTTTTGGGACGTTAAACCCCCCATATCAATCAATCGAATTCAATGGAACTAAATATGAACGTTTAGAGAAGGAGGCGGGGCAAGCTGATTTCGAGCATCCCGCTGTATTATATATATATATATATATATATATATATATATATATATTATATATATATATAGCCAGAGTGCCAGCGCACGTGACATATGACGATGATCACTACAATGGTTTTGTCATACAGATGAAGTACATAGTCAGCGCTCACACAATTTTCCCCCCTTCGCGAAAGACTGCAGCAAGTTAGAAAGGGTTGGGACGCCGAATACATCGTTTCAGTCGAGAGACGTGGGCGATGTCGGTGTGGCGGCGACGGCGATCAGGAGCCGCGTTGACAGGAGCAACGCGATAGTTGACTTCAGATGTTCGTTCCAGGACGGTGTATGGACCGAGATATCGGTGAAGGAATTTTTCACAGAGCCCAGGTGCACGAACAGGTGTCCACAAAAGGACTTCGTCGCCTGGGCGGAACACAACAACTCGACGCTTCGCATCAAGGTCGATTTTTCTCTTGTCCTGAATGGTAGCAGTGTTGGCGCGGGCGATTTCACGGCAGCGGGCGACGCGAGCGGCGAACTCTTCCAGGAGAGATGAAGATGGATTGGAAGATGTGGACAAAAAGGTGGTGTCCAGAACAAAAGTCGGTACACGGCCATACACGAGAAAAAAAAAAAAAAGGCTAAAATTCGTCGTACGCTGTATGGCAGTATTATATGCGAACGTGACGAAAGGAAGTATAGTGTCCCAGTTTTTGTGAACCGGTTGCAGGAACATAAAGATCATGTCGGACAAATTTCGGTGAAAACGCTCAGTCAGACCATTAGTTTCTGGGTGATACGCTGATGTGGTCTTGTGGATGGTGTTAGAGGCCTGTAAGACTTCAGCAAGGACACGTGAAAGAAATGTCTTGCCACGGTCACTGAGGAGCACACGCGGTGCGCCATGTCGTAAAATAATGGCGCGAAGGAAAGAAGCGGCTACTTCAGAGGTAGCACCAGAAGAAAGAGCTGCCGTCTCCGCGTAGCGAGTGAGGTGGTCTACGGCAGTAACAATCCAACGGTGACCGGCTGGCGTAAGCGGAAGAGGTCCGGTAAGTCTATGCCTACAATATATATATATATATATATATATATATATATATATATATATATATATATATATAAAGAACAATAGAAATCTCCTACCACCTCGTCTATCACGCGCACAACAACGCTGTCGCTCAAGACGTCGTGAGACTCGTCGCGTTTCCTTGTCCATAAATCTTCTTCGCTACTCGTTTTCCTGAAACTGCGTCCGCGCACTGCGCCCCGGCAGCGCGCCGGAGAATGAGGAGGTGTGCACCCGCCAGATAAGGGTCAAGGGAAGGAGGGAGGCTGCAGCGGCGCGCCCTAATCCCCTATAAGGGGCGGGGGGGACGAAGTGTGCATTACATAGAACCATTCTGTCGACATATAAAAAGCACAAGTTATGGCCACGCAGTTTTTTGGCGATAATGAGAGCCAAAGACCCCTCATACATTTTAAGAACTGTTTACTTTTTATATTCAGACTCCTACATATATTCTTCCGTATGACTATGACCCGTCTCCGGATTCACGTTCATACTCGCATCTACTCGCACGTATTTCAAAGTTCGCGCATCATTTCAATATTTATCGATCAGAGGGGTGAATCGCGTAGAGGGTTGTCTTGAACCCCCCCCCCCCCCCCCCCCCCAACTCTTCCATGGAAACTCTTGATAAATATATTATATGCTGTGATCTCTTTCAAGAAAAAGGCACTAGTTTGCAACCACTCATAACTCGTCCTGTAAGGCACACCAAAAGGCACCAAGAAGAACGCCGATTGCGTGAGATATTGGTGTTAAAGAGCATTGGCATCGTGGCCGAAAAAGCTAACTGTAAACCAATGGACTCGTGAGTCTACTCGCTCAGCCTAGGATGGAACCATGAGTCCGGGTGAGCAACATTTTGACGAGTTCGAGCGAGTCCGTCTGAAGACAGTTTTCGTGAGTGCGAGTCCGGCTCAGCGAAATTCTGGCGAGTCTGAGTTCGAGTGAGCCCTAAGCGTGGATATATATTTCATGAGTGAGTCTTAGTGAGCTCCACAATTTTCGCCGACCTGTGATCTTCACTACTTCAAAGCCAGGGACCGAAGTTAGGCTATTGTGAGAGAAGTACGACATCGCTTCATTTTTTTTTTTCGTTCATTGTTCATATTGTTTGCACTAGAGCGCTTCGACACCCAGTGGGGAACCCGGGACGCCTACGGCTGGAAAAAGAGCCCCGCTAGTCCAAATAACTTCTTTTTTCCTCTTGTGATGAAGACCATAAAGGAATGGTTACAGACGCATCACGTTGTCTTGGTTAGATGCCAAGCGGCGCCAGTCGCGTCGTGAGCGATGTCGCGATACCATTCCGATACGTTTACTACAGCGAAAGTGCCAAATGTCGAAGCCAATGCCGTTGACTTCCACGCAAGTGCATTCCTGTTTTGAACCCAAGTCTTCAGCAGCCGATAGTTATAGCGCGAGAACAAAACGACGACACAAGGACAAGAAGGACACGAAAGACACGAGCGCTAATCGTTTACGTCATGCCATACCAACTAGCCCAAGCTGCCGCACTTCAGCAGCGCGTATGTGCCGGTTGCTAAGTTCTCAAAATATTTCATGCACCTCACAGCCAAGCACGGCAATGAGGGAAAATTACTTCTGGCTTGCAGGAGTCGAGATTTACGACGACATTACTTCGTAAGAAATATTTGCTTTGCGAAATTTCGTTGGGATCGGCCAATAACGAGTAAACGTTTCGATGATTCGGAGGACAGGACAAAACTACGAGATCGACGCCGCTCAGTCCCAGTGAAATACCGCGCAGCCCGAGGAGGCTTCAAAGGTCACGCGTGCGAACTGCGAAACGAGCATGTTCTCGAGGAATCGGGTGTCGTAGGTCTATGTATCGTCTGGCAGATCCCGTTGCCAGGCGCGTAGTAGGGGGGCAGATTTCAACGGAAATTTTTAGTCGAAGTCTGGACGAACCACCAATCAGCAAAGAGAAAAGCAACGCTCTTGGCGATTGCATGGTCCCACGGTGAGCATGAACTATTTTTTGATTGGTATGCGGGGTTTAAGGTCCCAAAACCACCATATGATTATGAGAGACGCCGTAGCGGTGGGCTCCGGAAATTTCGACCACCTGGGGTTCTTTAACGTGCACCCAAATCTGAGCACACGGGCCTACAACATTTCCGCCTCCATCGGAAATGCAGCCGCCGCAGCCGCGATTCGAACCCGCGACCTGGGGGTCAGCAGCCGAGTACCTTAGCCACTAGACCACCGTGGCGGGGCATGAACTGTTTTCTGGTGCATACTAATACTATAGGTACACCAGGTGTAATGTGGTGCACAAAAATTTCCGGTATAGCGAGTTTCAGGCGGTGCTGCAAAGTCACGGGAACAATGGGGGAGTTCTTACTGCCTGTAGCTCTCTATTGTTCCCAGTACCCGCGAATGCAAGGGCGTTTCTTCAATCCATCGCTGCATTTGTATACTATATACGTTCCACTTCACAGAGAGCACGTAAGCTGCAACTTTTAGCCTCTGTTATAGCGGGTCGGTGACCTGTGAGCCAACAAGCCTTATGTTTATTTCCTTGCCTATCTCAATTACATATGCTAGCTCCACGGGATTCGATGCCTCCTCCAATTGTTCGGCAACATCGAAGGCATGCATGGTTGAACTGGCAGCCGCGCACGTGGACTCCAGTCGGGCATACGAAAGACGTAGAGGGACGCTAAACGAGTGGCGTGAGCAACATTATCATTGCGGCTTCCAAGTGGCCGGCGACAAGTATCCGCCTCCTGCGCAGCTCTTCCCCGACCACACGGTACGTGACTGATGATGTTTCCGCGCAGCCTCCTCCAATGTTCAGGGTCGCAGCCCGTTCATCGACAAGCTTCCGCGCGGTCGACGGGCGCAACGAGCCCTGATCAGCGCGCAAGGCCGCGTGGCTCACTGGGGGACCCCCCGCACGACCATCGGCAGAGACACGCCGTCTTTTCGGCGCAGAGGGGCTGTGGGAGAGACTGCTTTTCGCACAGACAGATTGGGGCAGGGCCACGCCGCGGCGTTGTCTGCGAGGCGGCGACGCTGACTTCTCGCAACCCGAGGCATCTTTTCGCGCACTCCGAAGCACTGCGCTGCTGTTTTCACGACTCTGAATCGTTCTATATTAAACAACATATCTGGTTCCACGATTCACTTTCATAAAAATACAGAAAATAAAGACAACTTAAACGTCGCATTCGTATCTCACCACCTCAAGAGATGTGGTCGCTATTTTGCGGCGACAAAAAAATCATGACAAACACTAACAAACGTTTCGCATGTGCCGAAGGGACAATTAATAGAATTCTGTTGCAAAAAAAAAAAAATGAGTGAAAACAAAGAAGTACCTCGTTGTAGACGGGAGCTGTCTCCATACATTCTGTATCCTACAAATTCGGTACTACCGGGCAAACCAACTACGCAACTTTGACGTCACCGTAACGTTTGATAAAATACCAAATGCAGGGATTCGCTCAAACCACAACGTTCATGACACGGCTGATGACACTCTTCCACGCTTCTTAGCAGCCAAGACTCAAATGGACAGCGCGAAAATTGCTGGTTATCCCACCATCATTGTTTTTTCTCGCAAATATGATTCGGCCTACAGCGCGTAGCTTGACTGTGCCCGTCCTCGCTGTTCGCGCTTAAAAGTTACGGAATACCAGCCAGCTCTCACGTCGCGCACCAGACCTTCAAAACAGTGTCTTGTTTCTTTCTTTTTCCTTTTTTTTTGTTGCAGCGCTGTGCTCTGGAAACGTATCGTGCATACAGTAAGTGCAATCAAGGCTGACTCATTTTATTTGCTTTTTTCATCTCTCATGTCAATAGCGAAATCACAAAGAAACGCGGGGGCCAATTGGTCGAATCCACGGTACCGGAATACAATAATCGCACATTGAATGGTCCAGATATGCATGTATTCAAATCGCACCCAAAGCACTTGTCAGTGCTTTATATATTCCCGAGCCAGACCCCGTATACTTGGCCGATAAGATCAGTCGACGGTGGCTGACATTATGTCAATGGAGCAAGACGCAGTGGCCGAATTCTCCAGTGCGATTTCTTGTACTGCCCCGCTGTCTTCGCTAATGAAATGCGGTCTGATACAACGGTTGGCTGTTTTCTGCACCCCCGAAAAATTGTCGCCTTATTTTCGTGAGCGCAAGTAATCACTAAAGTCATCTTACGTAACGCTGTATGCTATTAGAGGGTTTTAGAATTGGGTACTTGTGGGGCTTGGGTCCATTGTGTACGCGTGCTACTTTCGAGAAAAAAAAATAAATCAATCAAAATTCCTGCTTGCACAAATATGAGTTTGGCGCTGGTGCATTGACGAAAACTCAAGAAGATTGCGTACTCAAACGTTTGCGTACCTATAGGCTGTCACTACGGCGATCCCGTTATCAGGATGGCGGGCGCCCGAACGCCAGTTGATCAGGAAGCTCTTTCACGTAGATATGTTTTATGAGTATGGACGAAGATTCGTACACCTTACGTAAATGAACTCTTGCACATAAGCAAACGCACTTTTTTGCCGGCAATAGTTAAAATGTGAGGCAGAAACGGAACAAGCAGACCGCTCACGAGTGACAAGCATAGATCAGTATGATGCACTTTGCGAATCAAGGACCGAATTGACAACGGTTTCTTTTGTCAGAACATTTTGTCGTACAATCGTCACTGTCATAACCAAACGAAGCCACTTCTGTAGTATCGCTCAGGGTACGAATAGCTTTGGGAACACAAACGGTGTTTAAATAAATCTCTGAGAACGTTCAGTGTGATGTGTCCACTACCATGATTTGTTGACGTATGAACGAATTTGAAAACACGGATTGCGTAAAAATGCTGAACTTTGATTCCCAGAGCTCAGTGAAAAAAAAAATGTTTCTGTTCGCAAAACCTAGTTATTAGTCGACCACCTTAGCTTAACTTCTGCGCATGTAGAGTTTGACTTGCAGGCTTGCGGGTCGCAGAAATCATAGTAATTGATATGCACCCACGACATTGTACTGGCAGCTAACTTGATTGATTTATTTTTTTCCCTCCTAAGCGGGAAAAAACTACTGCAGGCATTGTTTCCACTTTTTCTTTTTAGAAAAAAAAACGAGCTCACGTTACCACAACCAATATAACTGCTTTGCTTTACCCAACGCCTATATGAGGCACCTTCAAGGCGCTGAGAGACATTCGCTGATAACGGCCCAGATAACATCACACGCCCGAAAAGATAAACGGGCATTCCAACTGACCAAGTAGCACTTGCGCGCATAACAGCCATCGCAGTTGCGTCGAAGTCTTCAAATAGCATGCAAACACGCAACAACCGTGACAGTACAGCTGCTGCGATAACATCACGACATATAACGTCAGCGTATATGGAAAACAGGGGGTCGTGAGAGCGTGATTCGCCACACCCAAGTAAACACGATGGGAATGTAGATGCGCGCGACTTTCGAGACGGATGAATGGGTGTGTCACCTGGATAAATCGAGAGATCTCTTAGTTTTAAAAGAACCGACATCTTGTATCACTGTTGTTAATGTTGCTAGAACGCACAATAAACCCCCCTGAAAGAAAATCCTAATTGTGTTTTAACTGTGGCCGAGTTATTGTATTTTAAACAGCGCTAGCTCGCGTATTTGGTGACATGCTGAGCAGGTGCGAAGTGACGCGACAGCTCCGAAGCCGCACGGTGATCGGTACACTTGATAACTGACAAGGATTACATGCACATGCGTTTGCACGGCTTTCCTTACTTCTTTGTGGCGCTGTCCACTGGCTGGCCTGCAGATCAAGGCAGCGCCGTTGCAAATGATCGCAGTGTCATCAACGAAAGCACAGTCCGGGGTTGACTCGTCGGCCTGCAGTTCGATGACATCAAGGTCGAGACTTCGAAGTGTTTTACAAAATTCTTCATGTTCCTTTCTCGCCAATTCAACGTTTATGTCGCCAATAACACCTGACGCACACAGTTTGATGCTGTTGGGCACTCGACAAACGATCGCATGCGTATACCGCCCGAACGCCATTTTGAAAGTGCTCGTGCTGGCAAAACAAAACTCGTCTAGTGGTACGCAAACTAGTTAAATAAGATTGTTATGTATTCTGCGATGAACAGCAAGTTATGAAAATATCAGTTGAAAACTATTTTTTACAATGGGTAATATACAAGTTTGGTGTATTACGCGAATAATGGCACGTAGAGCAGAAAATAGTCCACTTGTTGACGTGAGGCACAAAAGACGAAAACACCATCGCTATTAGCATCACTCATAAAGCAAGTCACAATGGAAGCACTACGCAAAACGTTGATGCAAGAAGTCGAGAAATACAAGGCTCTTCAGAAAGGTAAGCTCCTGCGGGACTGTCGAAGTACTGCAGTAATAATTTAATTGCTCCTAAACAAAATTCGGCATTTGTATCGTCTTGCTCGTTTACCGCTGGCTACCCCTGCACGCGCTTGGCTCTGCATGACACTGAAAGTATGACATGCCTCAAAATTACTACTAAAGCTCGTAACTTATGTAAAAGCGGAAAAACTTTCCAGTGTAAAACGTAACAGTAGTTTTCTCAATCATATTCTTGGCCACCGGCTGTATGAAAGAAATGTCCCTCTTAGCGGGGCGTCGTAATCGAGAGCTAATAAAAAATAGCTCCACAAGAAAGCCGTATTAGCATTCGATGATGTTGCTTCTTGGAAAGTAGTGTAAATGCGGCATTCTGATCGCGCGACAGCATACTTGGTTACGGGCGGCTTTATGACTCAACAAACGCGACTGAACGCGCGTACCAACTATAATGACCACCCACTCAATCGCGATGTTAATGTCTGCGGCCGTGCTTGAACAGGCCGTTTTTGTTGCCTCCCGTTGTGGCTAGTGTTTTACCTGCCTGAACAGCGCACGGGTAACGTAATTTGCTGCAAAGTAATGTGCGGTCTCTCACGTAGGGAATGGAGTCGCTGTAAAAAGCGAATTTCATGTGCTTTGACAGCTTCGGTACAGTCGGTGGAAACTCATTCGTCAGTGTGAACCGCTTTTCCAGACATAGAGGCCTCCGGAAATTAGACGTCAAGTGTAATCCACCATGCTTATTTTTTCTTATTCTTTCGGGGATGTTAAAAACGTGAGCCCATGCTTCATTCACAAAACGTTGCCGCGTGCACCAACATGCCTTGACCTCGTACACTTTGGAACTCCTTTTATGTTAACTATGTGAATTGCTGATTCGTACGCTGCAGAGTTGCAATATTAATAAGAACACAACGAGGCTTTCATGTCTCTTATTGCTGGCCTTATTTGGTAACAGTAGCTATACACGTATAAGTTTTTGTTCACTTGCATGTATTTTGTCTCACCTCATACATGTGTCAGGAAAATTAAGTTCCTTAACGAGGCCTTCATTCTCAGTTCACATAATATGATGGCTGACGATGCCTTTAGCATAAATCGAAGCAGTGATATCAATATATTTAGTACTTTAATATGCTCAAAGAAATCGCTAGATAGTACAGAGTACCCAACTTAAATGCATCACTGTTGCTCGCCAAGACGACAATTTGACGATAATGATGCCACCAAGCGCTGGCCTTTGATTGGTCCAAAGTAATATTGGACGTAACCACATTACTTCAAACAGGAAACAATTATTTGTTTTTCTTTGTATCGCATGTACCTTATCATTGAAAGTCTATGCATCTAATAAAAAATCATAACTGCAAAGAATGGTGTGGTGCTGGCTGCTGTTCTAGCTCGGGCATTTAAGCACTGCTCTAGGCAACCGGATGGATTGATGTGGCTGTACCCTTTAGATCGGGCGGCGACTAACGCCACCTAGCCGTAATACTTAGTGAACCACCAACTAGATTTATCTTTTTTTTTTTCCTTTAAATAGTGAAGTATAGGACTGGTACTTTGCAGTGAATGGTTTAATTTTCACTTGTGCCTTGACTTTAGCCACCAATCATATAACCTCCTTCTAGTTAATTCTACCCGCTTAAAGTCTATTTTGTCCTCCCTGTCTCTAAACCCCAGTGCTTTGAAAAACTCTGCGCCATCATCCTGAACTATAGGGTGAAGCCCTTTACAGAACATTATCAAGTATTCGGCAGTTTCCTCCTCCTCTCCGCATGCACTGCATACCGTGTCTATCCTTTCGTATTTGGCCCGATATGTCTTGGTTCACAGTACTCCTGTCCTGGCCTCAAACACTAGGACTACCCCGAGTATTATCATAGATACTTTCCTTGGCAATTTCCTGCTTTAAAGTTCGATAGATCTCTAGTGCGGACTTCTTAATCATGCCAATTCTCCACATGTCAGTCTCCGTTTCCTTCACCTTCTTCTTAATTGATAGTTCTTTTTGGTTTGGCCCCCTGCTGTTTTCTAAGTATTTACTTGTCAATTTTCTGGTTCGCTTCCTCTATTTTGTATCGATATTCTTCATGTACAAGTAGCTGAATACCTTCCTAGCCCAATGCTCCTCCCCCATTTCTCTCAATCGCTTCTCAAATTTTATCTTACTGCTAGCTTCCCTGCCCTCAAATAATGTCCATCCCATATCACCTTGTACTCCCTAATGATCAACACAAAAAAATCCAAAGCTGTGGTATTCACACCGGTTCAGAAGGCTGTCTGTCGTGGTTTGGATATACACCTAGGGCCCAAAAAAATTGAGGTTGTCAAAGAAGTTTCATAACTAGGAGTAATTTTTGATGAAAATCCTAATTGGGACAAACACGTTAATAAAGTAACTAGAAATATAGCTAGGACATGTGGTACACTCTCTAAACTTCGACAGATGCTTCCAGCAAAAATCAAACTTTTACTCTATAATACGTTGTTTTCATCTCACATAAACTATTGTAGTCTAGTGGGCAGATTCATCTAAAAAAAATCGGAACAAAGTATTTTTACTGCAGAAAAAAGCGATTCGTCATATTGCAAACGTACCATACAACGCACATACAAGCGATTTATTCAGAGAATATAACATTTTACCGATCAACCACATATACAGCTTTAACCTTATTATGAAATACAAACAAAGCTTGCTATCAAACAATGCTTGTTTTCTTAAACTGTGTAACCTCAGAAAAGCTACACAATCCCATTATGACTTTCAGAAAAGGCCTTCCTGGTTCGTTCCTTATTCGCAAACCAATCATGGTTTGAGAAGACTTGAACACTGTATTCCTGCTTGTTTTAACATGTTTAAAAATAAAAACATCGACATCTTTAATATACATAAAAAACAACTTAAGAAGCTTCTTATCCAGAATGGCGGCATGTAGTTTAGCTTCTTCTAATTGTCCGGCTAAAATACTATATGTAAAAAAAACACTCGGTAATAGTGCTTGTGTGTAAAATGGCATCCTATGATGTTTGCTTTCTTTGCCATTTTTTCGTTGTTGCTTTTTTTTACGAGTAAAACATGTAATATTTCACTCGTTAGTGTTTCCCTTGTACATTAAAACTTGTGCTTCTCGCATACCGAGTGTTGTAAACGTCTTATAATCATTTTGTAATACTTTGTTAACTGTTTAGCAACGTGTGCGTTGTTTCTTGATTGACTGTACGCTGTTTTCTTGTTTTATTTGTTGTTTTTCTCTCTCTGTGGTTTGTTTATTTTATGTAAACCTGAAACTTTTGTAATTTTGATGCCTTTTCTTTTTATTTCCTAATTTCTTGAAGATTTGAAAATTGACTTTAAATTGTTTTTTCATGTTTGTGCTCTGCAGATTTGTAATGCCAAGTGAAAAGGGGTAGGAGCCTCGTCAAGCTGCTAACATAGCAGCTTTTTGCTCTTATCCTTGCGTTTTCTTTCCGCAACTCTGTGAAGAAAATGCTCAATAAAACTGAAATGAAATGATTTGGTGTATTCCTGTGAGCTTCTAAATCAAGCGTATCTATTCCACGTTGCTTAATTTCTAATCTTGCTTAAACTTCTGATCTCATGCACAAGACCGCATTGCCGAACGTCAGACCCGGAACCATGACACCTTTCCATATTCCTCTCACAACATCATACCTATTGTAATTCCACAGTGCCCTATTTTTCATCACTGCTGCATTCCTGTTACCTTTAGTCGTTACGTATATTTCGTGTTCCCTTAGGAACTTGGTTCCACTGCTTATTCATACGCCCAGATATTTGTATTTATCCGTTATCCCTAGCGTGACTTCCTGTATCCTAAGCTCACTACCTTCATTATCATTAAAAATCATGACTGCTGATTTTTCCTTACTGAATGTGAAATCTAACCTATCTCCTTTATTACCATAGATGTTCATCAATCTGTGCAAATCTTCCTTGTTCTCGGTCAGTAGCACTTTATCATCTGCGTACGTCAATGCTGGTAGTGCCTGTTCAATGAGTTTTTCTTGTTTGATGAAATAGAGGTTGAGGCCAAGTCCACTCCCCTATAATTTGGCCTCTAATCCTTGTAGGTACAACATGAATAACAAGGGTGACAGAGGACACCCCTGCCTAAGCGCCCGTTTTATCTCTGTAAGCTTGGATGCCTGTTTTTCCCATTTTATAACTACCTTGTTACTTTTATAGATATCCTTTGAAAGATTAGTGACTCCATCTCCCACACCTAGTGTGTCCAGTATTCCCCACAAGTCCTCTTGAACCATGCTATCGTATGCTCCCTTGATATCCAAAAACGCTAGCCACAGGGACCTGTGTTCCTTTTCGGCTATTTCGATGCACTGCGTCATTGATAATGGATTGTATTCCAACCTCCTGTGTTTCGGAAACCCATTCCCCAGTTCCCCCAGTACCCCGTCATCCTCTATCCATGCCTGCAGTCTCTCCTTCATAATCTGCATCGCCAGCCTGTAGACCACTGGTGTCACTGTTAGCCCTTTCCCACTCTCTTTGTGAAAATGGAGCCACTGCACCACTTGATCTATGCTTGTCTATTAAGGTGCAAAAGCACATCCTATTTGAAATTTTTCTGTCAGCCTTGTTCTTATATTCAATAGCTTCGTCCCCTTCTAGCCTAGCACCTTGGGCTGTAGTTATAGAACTCTGCTCTGGGCTCGTCTCATTTCCTAGGGAGTTTAGATGATTGCAAAATTTCGCAGCTGCCTTTCTATCTCTTTTATGTACTTCTGCCAGCCACTGAGCTCCCTTTCTTCTAATCTTTTCATTGATCAGAAGGGATGCATCCCTTCTACAGCTAAGAAAGGTTTCCCATTTTCTTTCAACATCATTTGTCGGTTCACCCCGCTACTTTTTTTCCCGTCAACAATGTGGCAGTAGGTTTTGAGGATGTGATCGCACAACTCATGATTTGTTTGACAGCCTTTTGTGAAGATGGCGAATAGTGTGATTTCACG